GAGCTCCGGCCGCCTGCGCCTGTAGGATGCCTGGGGCCCGGGGTCGCCCCCGCCACGGGCAGCCGGGCGTGAGGGTCCCAGGACGGAGACGGGCCTCTTGGCCCAGCACTGGGCACTTCGTGAGGGTTCTGAGAGAAACGGCTTTCCTTAAGAGGCCCCTTTCCGGACGTTTGCCCATAAGCCACAGACCCAGCCGTCCGTCCCGCCCAGCTCCTGGACGTTGGTGGTGACAGTCCCATGTGTCCGATCTGATAGTTCAGTCGTTTCAGTGCAGTTTCTCGCACTGAAGGAGTCAGGCGCTCAGATGTCCCCCCAGGACTCTGTGTCAGGCTCCCCAGCTTGCCCAGCACAAGACCAGAGAGATTCTCCCGGATGTCTGGGCAGGGTCAGCGCAGAAATCGCCTGACCCTGTCCAGGACCCCCAGCGAAGCCCCCAGGCTCCTGGGTCCACCCCAGGAGGGTTAGGTGCCCATTTGTCTTATCTTCTGTCAAGGCAGACAGCCGGACTTTGAAGACATTTGTGGCTGTCAAGGGATAACTTGCCACCTTCGGTGCTTTCTCAGACCTTTACTTGGTAGAAGCTGGTAGAGAAGCACCCCGACCCGGCCAGCCGGGGCTTCGGAGGAGAGCGGGCGAGACTCCCATGCTTCTGTAGCTGCACCTGCGTCACCTTTGTGAGAGGGAGCATGGCTTTGTGTGGGTAGACTCTGACCTTGGCCCTGGCCAGACCAGGCCGTTGCCCCACAGCCCAAAACCACAAATCGTGGTGACGGAGAAACCCTTGACCTGGTGCTGCCCTGAATTCTTTGTATCCCTGGCCTCGCCCGTCCAGTGGGCACAAGGGCCAGCCTTGCTGCTGGGTTTGAACTTTCCTCTTCTCTTACAACAGGGCCATAGCCCCGCACAGGTTTGTCTGCAGGGCCTGGTGTGCTGAGGTCACAGGTGGCATTGAGTAGGATGGCTCTGTACACACAGTGGCCTGGGTCACCTGGAGAATCGGGGACAGCTTCACCTGCTCAGAAGGCGATGCGAGGAGAGAAGGGGCAGAGCGGGCCCGAGGACCCAACTCAGGGCCTGCGAGAAGCGTGTGGGCCCCCCCCAGTGCACACAGAGCGTGCGGGAGCCTTAGCCACTCTTAAGCCTGCCTGATTTAAGGATAAAAGCTCTAGAACCAGGTGGCAGGGCGGTGACCGTCGGCCCCAGAGAGCGAAGTGTGACTGATTTTCGGGCGGCCGCGTGGAGAGGGTAGGCTTCCAAAGTCAGGAATTGCCCCCATCGTGTCGTGTCTTTGGCTGGGCTTCATTTCCAGTTGGCCCCGGGGACTATGCACCTGTCTCAGGGTTGCGAGATTAGCCCACCCCTGAATCAGCTTGAAGGGACCCCCGTGGTACTTTGCATGGGGTGGAGCTAGTGGCCAGCAGTCCCAGCAGCACTAAGAAGGGGCCGTCCCCGTGCGCTCTTCAGCCCTGAGGTCTGCAGGCCTTGCCCCTGGGCACAGCTGGACGCCCACCGCACCTGCTGCCTCTGGCCCTGGACCCAGGGACCCACGGTGTGGAGAGCTGAGCTCCCCGTTCCACGCAAAGCCCAGGCCCAGTGGCCAGGGAGCAGTCCCCCGTGGAGGCTTCTCCAAGGTCCCGAGCACAGAGGAGATGAACTGTGCCTCCTAGCCGCCCACGGGCCACCTAGTCCCTGCCCTCCTCAGCCCAGGGATTGACCCCCCTGCCCTCTCCACAGCTATGACATGGTGCATTACGGCCACTCGAACCAGCTGCGCCAGGCCCGAGCCATGGGCGACTACCTCATCGTGGGTGTGCACACCGACGGTAGGCACGGCTGCCCTGCTCACCAGCCCTGCAAGTTCCCCTCGTCCTGAACCCCAGCTGGACGAGGCAGCTGTGCAGATCTGGCGACTTCGTCCTGAGCAGCTGCGCTGGCCCGCGGACAGGGCGGCGGCCGCTCGGGCGTGGGAGGGGCTGGCGAGCCTGCGGCTCAGCCCTCCCTGTGTCAGCATCTCACACTCACTCTCTCCCCTGGCCCCAGAGGAGATCGCCAAGCACAAGGGGCCCCCAGTGTTCACGCAGGAGGAGAGGTACAAGATGGTGCAAGCCATCAAGTGGGTGGACGAGGTGGTGCCTGCGGCTCCCTATGTCACCACGCTGGAGACGCTGGACAAGTACAACTGCGACTTCTGTGTCCACGGCAGTGAGTGGGAGGGCTGGAGCCCCAGGGCCTGGGCATCGGGGGTGGTGGGCCTCTTCATGCGTGGGGGGCAGCAAGCCCTGTGGGGGTCTGAGGACACTGGGTCCCTCCGCAGAAACGAGAGCGGGCCTGGGGTAGGGGATGTTGGGCCCTGAAGGTCTTGGCGGCTTCTGGTTAACGGTTCTCGTTCCCACGTGTTTGTCACCCTTAGATGACATCACATTGACCGTAGATGGCCGGGACACCTATGAGGAAGTGAAGCAGGCTGGGAGATACAGGTGAGCCCCGCCACAGCCCCCTTCGAGGGCTGGGACCCAGCGCTGCCCTCGGGCTTCTGTTTCTCTGGCCGTGATGGAGCTGGAGGGCGCCACACAGCGGAGCATCGACGATGCGCGCTGTCCTGTAGGGTGGCCGCAGACCACGGGCGGCTGCCCAGCCATAGACATGTGGGGCGTGACTGGGGGGCAGGTTTTCACTTTAATGGACTTTAAGTTAAAAAGCCAGCGTGGCCCGTGGCTCCCACGTGGGACAGCACAGCCCAGAAGTCCCCTGGAGGGGACATCCCGCAGGGCAAGACCTAAGTTTCCGGCAGGGCGGGGACCGGAGCTGCCGGCACTGCCACTTGTGGGGTGGCGATGCTTTCTCTGTGGTCGTCATCTCCTTTAGTCAGCAGCCCGCCCCACCCTCCTGGTCCTGGTTTTTAATCGGAGCCGAGAGCAGTGAGAAGCCAGGCTGTACACAGCACAATCAAGGGCCGGTGGCCCTCAGAAGGGGTGACCTGAGAGCTTCAACCCACCTGTGTCACTGCCTCTGTCCCCAGAGAGTGCAAACGCACCCAGGGCGTGTCCACCACAGACCTCGTCGGCCGCATGCTGCTGGTGACCAAGGCTCATCACCGCGGCCAAGTGAGTGACAGGATGGGAGTAGAATACTGAGGTCCCCACACGGAGGACACTGATGGGGGTAGGAGGGGGCATGCGCCCTGCCCCGCCGGGCCCCTGAGTGGGCACCAGGGTCCTGGGCTTGGCCGCGTCTGGTGGTGAGGCCCAGCCCAACCCTTCCGTGCAGGAGATGACCTCGGAGTGCCGCGAGTACGCAGACAGCTTCGGCAGGGTGAGTGTCGCCCAGGGCCTCGCCCTCCCCCCACCCTCTGCCCTCCGGGCGCTGACCGGGTGCTGACCGCCAGGCTTGGTCAGCAGGCCGGTCACAGCGGCCACTACCTGGAGGAGGAGCAAGGACTGCCCAAGGACAGGTAGCCTCTAACCAGGTGGCCTGGCCCTGTCTCCATTTTTAGCCCCCTCACTCAACACCTGCCAGGGAGATACTTTTCTCAGAAGGCTCCTCTCAGGTGACCAGATGGTGGTGGCTTCAGTGTGCGGGGTCCCCATGAGGGCTGCATCCACTGGCCTCCTTCCTTGCAGGCCAGTTGCTGGAGCTAGGTGGTGGTAGCTGCAGTGCTCGCTGTGGCCACGGGGTGGAGCCACAGTCCCACTGGCCACAGGGGCCCTGGCTGCCTGGCTGTGGTGTGGACGGGGCACTACCAACCAGCCCTCGGTGTCCCTGCTTAAGACCCTTGCTGGGAAACAGCACCGAGCGAGCGAGCGAGCTGGCACTCCGCAGCTGGGGGTTGAGTCCTGGCCTGCGGCCCCTGCAGCTGCTCCCTGCAGCCCGAGCCTGTGTGGGCGCTCCTGGACTCAGGGGCCTGGAGGCGGGTAAGGGACGTGCCTGTGAGGCCTCTGTTGCTGACCAGACTCCTCTCGGCCTACAGTGCCCGGGGGGGCGGAACCCCTGGACAGGGGTGTCCCAGTTCCTACAGACTTCCCAGAAGATTATCCAGTTTGCTTCTGGGAAGGAGCCTCAGCCAGGGGACACGGTCATCTACGTGGCCGGCGCCTTTGACCTGTTCCGTATCCTCTGGGACTGGGGGTGTTGCCCCAGACCTTTCCCCTGTGTGTCCACAGCTGCCCTGTTGGGCTGGGGGACCTGAGGGCCTCACTGACGCCTCGGGCCCTGGACCCAGGTGGGGTGCAGGGGTGCAGCCATTGGCGGGGGGCGCCGGCGGGCGGGTGGGAGGGCAGCGCTCCTGCCCATCACTTCTCCTGAACCTGGGTGCAGACATCGGGCACGTGGACTTCCTGGAAAAGGTGCACGGCCTGGCGGAGAGGCCCTACGTCATCGCCGGCTTGCACTTTGACCAGGTCACCCCTGGGCAGCTGGGCGTGGGGCTTCTCGGGCTGGGGTTGGGTACAGGTGGCCGTGGAGGGGGTGGGCCCCGGGTGTGACAAAGACAGGGAGATGGGCCGGGGCCTCTTCCTGCAGCGGGGCTTCCCCGTGCTGGTGGGCACCCCAGGGGACCGCTGGAGGGTGCCTGCTGACCTGTCCCCGCTTTGGCCTTAGGAGGTCAACCAGTACAAGGGGAAGAACTATCCCATCATGAACCTGCACGAGCGGACGCTGAGCGTGCTGGCCTGCCGGGTGAGCACCGGGCTGGCTGGCTGGGCGTGCGCAGGGGGACGGCCCGCCACGCCGCCTCCCCAAGCCTCCTCCTCCACATTGGCAGCCTTGGCTGGCCTTTCAGGCCATCTCCCACCACCCACCAGCCTGGCGGGGTCCCGGCTAACCAGCTGTGCCCCCTGTCCCCACAGTACGTGTCGGAAGTAGTGATCGGGGCCCCGTACGCGGTCACAGCAGAGCTCCTGGACCATTTCAAGGTGGGGTCCCGGTGGCCTGCGCTCCAGGGAGGGCTGGGCTGAGGTGGCTCCCTGGGGAGGGCGCCTCTCAGGGCGGAGTGCCACAGGGCGGTGCTGGGAGGGCTTCCTGACCCCGGACCCCTCCACAGGTAGAGCTGGTGTGTCACGGGAAGACGGAAATCATGCCTGACAAAGATGGCTCTGACCCGTACCAGGTGGGTGTGCTGGGCCCGGCTCCAGGGCTGGTCTGGGAAGTGGTCTCAGGAGGCAGGGTGCTGGTGAGCAGGAGGAACCACCCCACTGTGCCAAGGCCACCTCCTTTCAGTGGGGACCCCTGGACCAGGGCAGCTGAGCAGTCTGGGGGGCCGGAGGGGTGCCCTCATCTCCCCTCCGCCCTGCCTCCAGGAGCCCAAGAGAAGGGGCATCTTCTGTCACGTCGACAGCGGGAACGATCTCACCACAGACCTCATCGTCCAGCGCATCATCAAGAACAGGTGAGGGCTGTACTGCGCATCATCCAGCGCATCATCAAGAACAGGTGAGGGTGGCGGGGCACGCAGAGCCCGGAGGCGCCGGGCCGGGCACACAGCTCCCCCATCCTGGCCCGCAGGCTGGCGTACGAGGCCCGGAACCAGAAGAAGGAGGCCAAGGAGCTGGCTTTCCTGGAGGCCGCGAGGCAGCAGGGGGCGCGGCCCGAGAGGGAGCGCGACTGTGACCTCTGACGGAGCTGGCCGGTCGCCAGGAGCCCTCGAGTGCGGCCCTCCCCTGCTCTGCTCCCCGCACCTCCAGTCTGGCTTGTGTCGGCTCCTGCGATCGTCACCGAGGCTGCAGTGTCCCCCGTCTGACTGGCCTGGCCCACAGGGCCCCAGGGTGCAGCAGGCCTTGTGCCCTTTCTCCTAAGCTGCGCAGAGGGCGTTGGGCAGCGGGCAGGCGGGGCGAGCACAGGGCACCACTGACCCCAGGGGTGCCACCCTGAGTGCGCGGAGACCCAGCTTCCATCCTGCTGGCCCCGCTGCTGCTCCCCCACCCGCCCCCAGGGGTCTTGCGTACTCAAGACCCCACTTCCTGCCCACACAGGTCGGAAGGAGCCTCGGGAACAGACTGGCGGGGCCCCCTCCTGCTGTCCCCGAAGATTCTCGATTTTGTACATAACTGGCTGGCGTGCAACCAATAAACGTGGCGGGAGGCCCTCTGTTAGCTGTCAGCCCTCAGGGTGGAACCAGGGGACCCACCCCCTCAGTGCCCTCCCACCGCCCACCCAACAGAGAGGGAGCCCCCAGATCCAAGCCCCTGAACCCCTGGGGCGTGGGGTCTGTCCCCATAGCGCTGCATGGAGCCGCCCGGCCAGGGAGGAACCCGAGCAGGCTCCCCAGTGGGGCCACAGTCTCGGGGACTCTGCACACAGCCCGCCCAAGCGGAGCAGCCCAGCGGCTGCACGGTGCCCACCCATCGCCCGTGGTTTGCTTGGTTTTCTGCTGAGAAGTGCAGACTGTGATGGCGTTTTTCAGCCCCCTCCACCCCCTCCAGAATGGGCGCTGCCAGCAGGCGGGGGCACCAGGGCCAGCTTTTCCTCTCGCTTGAGGGGGGCCTGGCCCGTCTCTCAGTTTAGCTATTCTTGAAGTCTAACTTCAACCCCTCGACAGAAAGCAGTGACTGTGGAGGCCCGCACACCCCCAGCTCTGCAGCCACCGGCTGCCTGCCTTCCTTCTCTCCCCAAGCTGGGGGCACTAAGCTGTGCCCCCAACTTCCAGAGCCCTATGGTGCTGGACCTCCCCACATCCAGAGCGGCAGGCTGCAGGGAGCTCTGTAGACCCAGATGGGGGAGGGCAGGGGCGGCCAGACGCCTTCTCTGACACTGGAGCCAACCCTAGACCTCCCCAGAGCCCACCCCTGGGGGGCACCCCAAGTCGGGGACTGCCCAAAGCAGCAGCCAGGAAGCCCTAGCTGCGCCACGGTTGGAGGAGGTGCAGTGGGACTGGGCTCTGCCCACAGCCTCTCTGAGCAGAGGGTCCCCTAAGGCCCGGCTAGCCAAGTACTCCATGGGGTGGGGGACCCCCCAAGGCAGGCTCAGGCCCTCACTTAACGACCCTGCCAGAGGCCCCGCCTCAGCGGGATGGGGGCAGGGCAGGAGCCAACCTGCAAGGACATGGGGGGCGGACATGGAGGCCGCGGGATGGGTGAACGCAAAGCGCCCAGGTCTGTCTGCGCTGCCCCCGCCCCCAGGAGGCCATTCCTGGCACCAGGTCCCCCTGCTCATGCAGCAGCAGGCACAGGGGTCCCTGGCCTGGCGTCTGGCTGACCCCTCCTGCCTCGGCCAGCCTGGTCATTTGGACACACTGGACACTGCACAGTCCTTCCAGACATGGAATGTGGGGCTCCCAAGAAAAGAGTGACCCCATGAGCTGCCGCCTCAAGAAACCTGGCTCAGAGGCAGGAGAGCCGCCCGGGTGGGCGGTCAGGGTCTAAGGTAGGGGAACGTCGGAGCGGGCTGCGGAATCTCCATGCAACAAAGGAAGGTGGGCGCGGGGCCTCTGGCCCAGCTGGGCGGGGCTTCTCGAAAGCTTCCAGGGCCAGGTAAGGCTGGGGCCCACAGGGGTCTCAGCAGCGTTCTCCCAGCAGTGGGGTTTGGGGTGACCCTGTGCAGGGTGTTTCAGGAGAGCCGCGGGACTTGGTGGGGGCCCGCCAGTGTGGTCTGGGGGCAGAGCCCCCGTTTAGAGCCCGAAAGGACCCTGGCCCCTCCAGCGGCGCCCGCCCCACTCGGAGGCCGGTGGCACTTCTCATTTATTCATTTAGCCATTTACTGCAGAGATGGGGGGGGCGGTACTGGGCCAGGGGTCTGGGGGTACCCGAGCTGGCCGCGGGCTGCGGGGATCCACGCGGGAGACAAGTGACTCCAAGTGTCCGTCGGCCTCAGACGCTGCGACAGTCAGCGGCTCTGAGCGACAGGGAGACGTCCGCCTTGCACTGGAAGGTGGCGCGGCCGTCGGGGAGACGTTCGCAGCTGTGCAGGTGCGGGGTGATGTGCTTGACGCACACGGTCTGCGGGCAGGAAGCGGCTGAGGGGCGGCCAGCGCCCCGCGACCCCCGCTGCCTCCGCCCCCTCCTTAGCCTCCCACCTCCAGCGCCCCGGCGGCTCTGAGCGACAGGGAGACGTCCGCCTTGCACTGGAAGGTGGCGCGGCCGTCGGGGAGACGTTCGCAGCTGTGCAGGTGCGGGGTGATGTGCTTGACGCACACGGTCTGCGGGCAGGAAGCGGCTGAGGGGCGGCCAGCGCCCCGCGACCCCCGCTGCCTCCGCCCCCTCCTTAGCCTCCCACCTCCAGCGCCCCGCAACCCCCGCTGCCTGCGCCCCCCCCCCAGCCTCCCACCTCCAGCGCCCCGCCACCCCCTTGCCCCCACCGCCCACCACCTCCA